AAATGAATAAACTGAATCTAGTACATGTGCTTTGTATTACTTTTTGGTAGGGGCTGACAAGACTTTCGGACCCCCCACCATGTACATTAAAAGAGGCGTACTAATCGAAAACGCATTAATCGAATGTAATAACTTATATGAATGATATAATTTGCACCTCGAATTTTTTTAGTCTCATTCAAAACTAATTTCTAATTTGAGTACTTTTTAATTAAAATATAGGTACTTATAAGAAGACAATAAAAATGCTATGAATTAATGTTTATTAATCTGATTTTATGAAAACCTTATTTAGAATGGTTTGCCACACGGTTTTCTTGTGTTCTTTATATAATTGGCGATACTGAGAAATTGCCCATTCAAATTTTCGAAATATAGAATCGTTAGTATTTTAACCTGAAAATGTTGTTCCATAGTAAATGCATACATTTTTTTATATTTCGATATGTTTTTTGAGAAATGTAAATTTGTATCTAATTAAATAGTCCCCCACTTTTTTAACAAAAAATCAAATTTCTTTTGAAGACCTTCAAAATAAACATGAAAACAATAAAAATATTAAAAAAAAAAAAATTAAAAAAATTAACAGATAAATTTTCAAATACATATTTTTATTATCGGCTTATAAAATTTATCAATTTATAACCGTACATTTTTTTTTTTTTTTAAACATTACTGCAATTACTTGGATAACGTAATACTTAACAAACAAATTAGTTACACATTTCCTATTTTTTTAAATTTTAGAAAAATTTTAATTAATCGGTAACTATAAAAAAAATCAGTTTTCAATTACTATCGTTAAACTAAAGAATGTTTTGCCGCACTAATCGAATTTTGGTATATAAAGATTTTAGCGAAATAATCAAACGCATTGAGGGAGATTTTATATATATATATATATATATATATATATATATATATGCACGCGTGTTCGAATCTCACCATAGTCGATTTGTCATGTTATCGGACAGGATATTTGGAAAAGGTCTGAAAACCATACCACGGGTTGAGCGAAATTCGGTAGCCGGGGCCCTTGGGCCGTCGATAGCGGTGCTAGCACGAAGTCACAAGTCATCGTGGCTGAAGTCTTGAGCGTGCTGGCCTTGTTCAAATTGTTGATCACGCAAGATAACACGCTCTTTCTCAGCATAGTTGCTGTATAAACCACAGGTAGGCACCCAAAATGTGCCTGAGCGAGCGTCTCAATTAGGGATTGACTAGCCACCCTAGTAGACAGGTATCCACGAATACGAGCGGTCAGCTATATATATATATATATATATATATATATTAATTTTGCTTTTCTATAAAAAAAAAAAAAAATATGCTATATTTATGGTGTAAAAGTACTCAATATCAAGAATAGAGCGTATGTAAATATAAAAGTGAAGCCACTCATAGTAAAAATGTTAGCTATTAATCCTGGCAAATAATATACATAAAATTATACAATTTAACCTATATCACATTTAACATAATTTCTGCAAATGAAGTTCTCAATATACACTAGAGCATCGGATTTGTCAACCTTTTTCTACCTTTGTGGAACTCTTGAAATAGTTTTCATGTCTCAGGGAACCCCTGCATAAAAAAATTACTATATATTATTATTAATATCTACCTCTTTTCTTTTTTTATCATACTTCACATGGCAAACATAATATATGGACACCGTGCATACGTCCTGTACACGATTGATACACGAATCTGCCACGTACAGGTCTGTCCTCTAATCAGTGAAGGAAGTTTCACACTGACGCCATAAACGCAGACATTGTTACATACATTCCCTATGATTATAATAATTTTAAATAATATAAGAGGTTGAAGCCTTTATTATAATAACAAAGGATTTTCCAACAATATGCCGTACGTGTATAGTCAAATATAAGATTAAGCAAATTATTCAAAAACGCATTAGCCTATTTATCATTGTTACTCGTGGAGCTCCTAGTAACCTCTTGCGGAAACCTAGGGTTCTGGGGAATACCGGTTGAAAAACACTGGACTCTAGCGATAATAGTTATTAAATTAGAAGTAAAAACTTCCAATATTTATCGAAGATAAACTCTGTTTCCTAATCATTGTTTTTCAATGGCTTGTTTAGTCTTGCTGAGGGATTGAAAAAGTTAAGAAACACTGAATTGACAGTTTTGATAAATATTGAACGTTTTTTACATGTAATTTAACTTCGTCTGGCACAAGAATGCAGTTTCAAAGCATCCGCCAGTAACAGTCTATAGGATAAATTTACTAAACAACATTTTATGGTAGCGTTAGGCCGTATTCTGTCAGTAACGCTTTTAATGTCATATTATTGATAACCCCAATTCCATTCAGCAGTAAAATTATTCGCAATATGTTTTTTGTAGTAATTGTTTATTCTGTTCGCGACGCTTGCATTAAGTCGTGAGCATTTCCAATTTCTTCCTAATTTGGAAACCATTCCCAATGCGTTTCTAAATGAAGTGAAAATATTGATTTTTATAATATAACCATTTTTTTTTTTGTAACAGGAGGTATCGTTCAGCGTAAATTTTATTGTTGATAAAACCTAAAAGTATTGAATATTTTGCACGTTACTTTCTCGAATTTTCCTGTTATTTTCAACATAAGTTATGCTTACTACGTGGTCAAAAATATTTTTGTAGTATTTAATGGATGGCACGTTGGTAAAGAAACATTTTGCTTATGCCGTGTTCGAAGGTGCACACAAGCTGTTAGAATTTTCTTTTTAAGCCAAATAATTGGAAAGCTTGGCCTGGGTTCCGCCAAAAATCTTGAAGGCATTACTTGAATTTTAGCAAAGAATAGTAACGTCATCAACAGCATTTCATGCAGGCTGGATTGTGGAAGTTCTAAATATAGATTTGGTTGCTGTCATTGTTCATTTAAAACTAGATTTGGTTTCTTGAATGGTTTTGGTGAGGAAATCTATTAAAACTATTAATACAGGTTACCTATAAACAAAACGGTAATCCGGTACTAATTTTCACGGGAGCCACTTCAGGTTTTCCTAGCCGCCTTGATTGCTGGTGTTCCCTTATCGAAGGTGGTAGTACCTGCTAGGGTCTCAGCTATGGGAAAAATAGTTAACCCCAAACTAGGGTCAAAATACTATGATAGAGTAAAAATGGGTTTTGATACCAAAAGATGTTTTTTAAAATTATCAGCAATAAATTTATTAAGGAAATAATTATTACGAGTAATACTTAAAAAAAAAATTACTAGCAATACAAACAGCAATAGATATTTTGAAAAGAACTTATTCCCACGAATAGATATTTTGAAGAGAACTTATTCCTAGAAATAAAAATTCTGTCGGCATTAAATAACCCATTGAGGTTGATATGCCGTAAAACAAACCAAACCAAAACAAACTAAGTAAAACTTGCAACTGCTTTGGAAAAGGCATTCCAATCAATGAATAATTGGGGAAAAGAATGGCTTGTAAACTTTAAGCCCTTCAAAACAAAACTGCTTTCATTTAATCACCGTACAGAACCTTTTCTGCCTACAGTCAGCATGGCTGATGCTAACCTCCGGTAGAGTAACTCTTTACGCCGCCTTGGTCTCACGGTTACTACTGACATGGTGTGATTATATTGAATCAATTGCTTGGTTTGCTGCTGTGAAAGTTTGTTCATTTTGTCGTACCAGACAATTTTATTCATCAGAATCCGATCTTGCACATTCGTCCGTGCATTGAATACTGCTGCCATATATGGTCTTGGTCTCCTACTGTATATCTCGAGATTTTTGACAAAATTCAAAGAAGTCTGTAATGTAATCTATCCTGACCTGGCATCTCAATTACTTTGCTCACCAACGTGATGTGGTTTCCCTCTCTTTTCTACACATATTATCATGGCAATTGTACTGATGAGCTTCCCCCTCTGTATCTCGACTGCACGAATTTAAGCGTGCTACTAGATTGGCAATTAGGTCTCATCTTTTTAATATCGAACTAGCAAGGTGCAATCATTTCTTCTATTCTTTTTATTCTTTAATTTCATTTTTTATTTCAGTTGTTCCAAATGTGGGAGAACAACCCGTTTGGAAATTACCAAGGAATCTCTGGAATAAGATTTGCGTAAGTAAGACTTCTCTGTTTTCAAAGTAGATTGATTTGTCGTCAGAATGAGATACGCCCATTAGTCAATTTTATATATATATATATATGTGCACACCCTTGCGCAAATTAATTGAAACAAAACGAATAATCCCGTTATTTACTTTTTTCATATTTTCCAATGAAATATGACCCAGTGCACATGTTAATACTTCGAATATCCATTCCACAAAGTCGTTCCTTGCAGATTGATCAGATTCTCGATTGGATTTAAATCAGTTTCCGGACCAGTCTATGGTACTTTGATTTGCTCACTGGTAAGGCTTGCCAATGTGTCCGTGCAGCGTTACGATTTTCCTACGCTTCCTTGGAGTAACGTCCATCGCAGACAATGGCCGTAGCACAACTAATCGTCAGTCAAGACAGTAGTGTCTGTGCCTGATAAAAATTTGCTGCAATCGCAGATGGCGTAATATTTTTCAAGGCTAAACAAATTTCATCATACGCCCCGAAAACAGATCCATATTACTGCACACGACCTAATCTGAGGGAAAAAATAGAAATTGATTACACTGTGTCACTCCAGTGGGTCTAAAACTGGCCGATTGGTGAAAGAAAGGAAACTAAAGCAGTTTCAGTTAATTTGCACAATGGTGTGTATAGTATAGTATAATGTATGTATGAAATCGCTACACAGTTATGTTTCGACACCATAAATGTCTCTTTAGGCGATCACTCTAAGTATTGAACCCTCTTTTAAATTAAATGTTACGTACAGTGGAATCGTACTCCATTTGTCCTCAATTTACGTGTGTGTGTGTGTATATATATATATATATATATATATATATATATATATATATATATATATATATATATATATATATATATATATATATAGATGTATATATGCGTGTGTGTGGCTTACGGCTAAATCGCGTTGAAATACCGATTCTCGTGCATTCACTAAAGTTAAGCAACGTAGAGCCTGGTCAGTACCTAAATGGGTGACAGCTTGGAAATACTAGGAGCTGCAAACTTCGATGTCCGGAATTTTTGACAAAAGAATGCGAATGGCTCCACCTCTGAAAGCTCCCGACTAATCTGTTGCGTTCATATTCAATTAAATGCCCTTGGTAAAGATATGAATCCAACTTCCCCTCCAAGATATGGATTAAATAGTAAAGTAAACTGTGCTCTCCAGAAACTCTTAATCTCGAATCGTGAAGGAAACAATGGGAACGACTCCGCTAAATATCTCTGGGTATCATAGCGATTCACACACAACAAATAAAAGGGATCTGTGGAGAGCCATGATCGTCTATGTCCTGAAAGAACATGGCATTAAAAAGACAACTGAATTATTTAAATTCTGATTGAAATAATTCAGAACATTTTATATAGGCATTGTTTATCAATATGCCTATATATTTACGCTTTCTTTTATTTTAAGGTTTATTTTAAACATTTAGTTGGCATGTTTAGATGAAAGAAATTGCAAGCAAAAATCTGTCAATTTCTATAATCTGATTCTGTAACTGCTGCTTGCTTGGTCGTTCACGCTACAGCTTGTCTCAAGTAACCGGTGTTGCTATTTAATAATCGGGTAGTTGGGATTTTTCTCGGTGTGCAGTACACGGAGGGTTTTTTTTTTTTTTTTTTTTTTTTTTTTTAAAAAAAAAAAAGCTGTGTAGGGAAATCATTTAAGGAGTCCAAGGATGTGAAATTACTAAACGAGATGGTCTTAATAGGTTTTGAAAATAACATTAAAGAACAAATACCCCTTATTCAGAACCTCAGACTATATGCTAAGGGGGTGCTGTTCACAATAGCTATTCAGCGTAAAATCGATCCTTGACTTTGAAGAGTTATCGGAACTGTTTCTACGCACGATATATATATATATATATATAACGTATGTATACATCTTTTATGTTTTAAGAAAATGTCTTAACCTTAAGAACTGTCTGACAAAATAGATTTTAATTTTTTCTCATTAAAAAAAAAATTATATACATTTTTAATTAAAGAACAGATTTTTCTCAAAAGGGACAGAAATTGCCTTTTTTTTCCCAAAGGAGTAAATTTTTCGACTATTTCTGAAGAATAGTCAAAATATGTGTGAGACTGGTGAATTTTCAAATTTATAGAAATTAATTAAAATATCTAAAAGTTTATTCTTCATTTAAGATAAATAATTTGTATAACCAATGTTTAAATAAAACAAAATACTTTTAAAGATTCTGAAAAATAAATAGTAAACGGATATCAATGAGGTAAACAGTTTCAAATGTGGCATCTGTAAACAAAACTATTAATTTCCGATAACTCTTAAATGTCAGGGATCGATTTTACGCTGTATCACCATTATAAACACCCCCCCCCCGCTTCTAAATCCATAACTATTCAATATTTTTCAATCCTGACAATTATCGCGGCCAAAGAAATTATTTCCCAGAAGATTTTTCCCTATTTTCTTTTGGTTGTGTCAGATTTCCAATTGTGAATCCTTTCACGCGTCATCTTCATTATTAAATAAAGATTAATTGTTTTTTTTTTTTTTTTTTCAGAAAAGGCAGTGTGGTAGTCCAATACAAAGCCAAATTCTCTGTTGCTAATGGGCAAAAACTGAATGCAAAAGTATTCGACAATTATTTCACGAATCATTTGACCAATGGCAGCAAATTTGGCAATTTCACCATCCTTCCTGGCTCTGTCAAGCACACAAGTAAGTCAAAAGAATACACTTTTTAATTATGTAATTGTTTTCTGCTTTTACTCATTCCTTTGCTAGAATCGAGACAACGTTTTGTTCTGCTACTTAGATCCGCATATGATCACGATTCTGGCATTCTTGCATAGTTATTTCATATTAATTTCTCGTGCTTTTCATTGTAACCATTACTAAGACTGTCGGTTTACGGCCTTGGATAATCAAATAGTAATTTTTTGACTGATATTTCGTTCGTTTTAAATTGTAGTTGTTTTCATTGAAATTGATATTACGACGATGGTTAAACAGCATGAATCTAAAATAAAGAATAGTTTACAAGCCAGACTCGAACTCATAATTCCTTTTGCTTCAGGAGGCTTTTGCTTATGTACGCCAGTTATTCTGCTTATCGAAATGCGAGAGCTTTTTACAATTTAGAAGAGATCAAAATCCTAACCATTAACTCGTTCTAGATTTTTCCCGATTCTTCGATGTTTTTGTGTTACTCGTAGTTTTCAATTTTTATTAACTGAAACTTTTTAACCATTATTAATTTTTACTAGAATTTTTTTTATCTTAAATTGGTTTTCATCTCGCGAAATCTGGCAGATGACATGTCAGACGTTCTGACATCTGTTAGGCGACATCTGGCAAACGTCTTGACATCTGTCAGAAGTAAGCTTATACTTAACATCAGGAAGAAGCAGCTGAAATTTATGGTTCGCGTAATGAGAAAGGAGTGCTTGGAGAATCTGATACTCACAGGTCGAATAGAGGGACAAGTAAAAGCAACGCATGACATATCTAGCGGGCTTAAGCAAGTGGATGACAGAACATGGTCTGGGGAAAGTAGCAAAGGGATAAAACTTATTGAGAGCTACAAGGGATAGGGGGAAGTGGACAGCTATGATCCCCCACGTTCTGAAGAGACACGGCACATAAAAGAAGAAATTTACATCCGTCGCATCAAACTGCTTTTCAAAAGGTTTGGATTGATTGAGATTGTCAATCCTTGTATTATTTAATTTTGAATCCGGTTTAATTTTTTTAATCCGGTCTGCATAAGCAAGGCAATAGAGCTACTAAAGCGCATGGGGTGGGGGAACTGTGTGAGAGGCAATATGAGAAAAAGAGACTATTTATAACACGGCTAACCCGGCGCTTGATTGCTTCATCTGCTTCTACCCCACGTTGTGTTCCTTAATCACATACCAGTGAAGATCGAATTTCGTCCGTATTCGAGCACTTGGTCGAACCGCGGCGAAACCGTGCTTCAAAAAGACATAGAACGTTTTCCGCTGGCAAAAATAAAAATGGCATAACAAAATAACGAAGAAGGTCGCCGGGTTAATTCTCAGTGGTTTATATAGGTCTTGATACAACAAAATGAACCCTTCCGTTATCGTGACACTTTGTCTTTTTCTAAAATTTGAAGCATGTTCAAGGAAAAAAAAAAAAACGTCGGGAATTCTCTCGGCAGCACATCATGCGGCTTCTTCTGGCTTCTGGTATTTTGGGTTGCCTAAACGTCCGTCTATATGTATTTTGCCCGACTTCAACCGCACCTCAAGATTCATTAATATCCATATCAATTCATTAATTATCTCTACAATTTTAGAGAACCGATACTGACCTTCAAACAAAACGACCCGCATTCTGTCACTTATTCGAAACAATAAATTATTTGATAACAAACTTGTGTTTATAAATACTTTGTCCTTGGCGTCAAAGGATTTTCTTTGTTGTCAACTTTTCAATATGACATTAAAAATCTTTGCCCGCTTTGCATGTTTACAAAACTATATTTCAGATTGTTTACATTATCGGCTTCCAATTTATAACAATTCCATTTGTTTTTCAGCTGACAAGCAGTTACGTTTTACATTTCTGAAATCATATTTTGGATCCAACATTCTATCCTGCATTTCTGCTTATCAGAAAGGAACAAACATGTCTTTTTTTTTTCCTTCATATTTCAAGTCCTGTTCTCACCTTTAAGTTTTAACCATTCCAATTCTCCAAATCCTGTACGGGGTTTTCAAATGAACACTTTTAATCCTTTTCATACTACCAGTGTCAAAATAGTGTCTCGTTAGCCCTTTCAATTACAAGTGACACTTTATGGTGCCACATATTAAGGAGAACAAGAATTAAGAGGACAGAAGATAACGATTGACACTGAATTTATATTTTTGAAAATCAAACTTGGCTGGGAAGCAAAAAGCCGGAAGAGAGTTCCAAAAGAGAGAAGACCGAGAAAAGAAACTGTTAGTATAGAACTTAAGGTTAAATCGAGTCATTTTAACTGAAAAACAATGACTCCTTCCCGCCAATCTAGTAATACACTTAAAGTTATAGAGTCTAGATACCATTAGAACAATTACCATGAAAGTATTTATAGAAAAGGCACAAGGAAGCTACATTACGGCGGTTGGGAAGTGATTGAAGCCGAGATATCAAGTCAGGATCAATAGCATTGCAAATTCTTCTTTGGATTTTGTCAAGAATCTCTAAATATATAGCAGGAGCATCAGACCAGATGTGGTAGCAATATTAAAAGCATGGACGAATGGTTGACGTGTAAGATAGATTCAGGTAATAACAGAATTATTTTCATTATATTTGAGTTTGCAGGAATTTACTTGGTAGGTGGATTCGTTTGGTGTGTGCACTCGGCATATTCTAAGCCTCGACGGGAAGGAGAAATGGTTTCAAAAAGGATATTCGTAGTAAATAGTCGTAAAATTTGAGACTAAAGTTATCGACTTTCATCCCAATTGTTGCAGATGAACTAATAAAAAATACTGTTTGTCATAATGAAATTTTATCTTTCTCTCTTTTTTTCTTTTTTCCTTTTTCTTCTTTTTCTTTCTTCTTTTTTCTTCTCTTTTTTCTTCTTTTTCTTTTTTTTCTTCTGTTTTTCTTCTCTTTTCTTCTCCTTCTCTTTTCTCTTTTCTTCTCCTTCTCTTTTCTTCTTTTTCTTCTCCTTCTCTTTTCTTTCTTTTCTCTTTTTCTTTCTTTTCTCTTTCTTTCTTTTCTCTTTTTTCTTTCTTTTCTCTTTTTTCTTTTCTCTTTTTTCTTTTCTCTTTTTTCTTTTCTCTTTTTCTTTCTCTCTTTTCTTTTTCTTTTCTCTTTCCTTTTTTTCTCTTTCCTTTCTTTCTCTTTCCTTTCTTTCTCTTTCCTTTCTTTCTCTTTCCTTTCTTTCTCTTTCCTTTCTTTCTCTTTCCTTTCTTTCTCTTTCCTCTCTTTCTCTTTTCTTCTCTCTTTCCTTTCTTCTCTCTTTCCTTTCTTCTCTCTTTCCTTTCTTCTCTCTTTCCTTTCTTCTCTTTTTTTTTTCTTCTCTCTTTCCTTTCTTTTTCTCTTTTTTTTCTCTCTTTCCTTTCTTCTCTCTTTTCTTTTCTTTTTCTTTTCTCTTCTTTTTTTTCTTTTTTTTTTTTTTTTCTTTTTTTTCTTTTTTTTTTTTTTCTTTTTTTTTCTTTTCTTTTTTTTTTTCTTTTTTTTTTTCTTTTCTTTTTTTTTTTTTCTTTTCTTTTTTTTTTTTTTTTTCTCCTTTTCTTTTTTTTTCTTCTTTTCTCTTTTTTATGTGCGCTTTTTTTCTCCTTTCAGTTCTTTTAGCGGCAAAGGCGGAAGAAGTAGTGACCATCCCTAACTGGGGCATCGCAGTCATCGTTTGTGGAAGTATTCTTCTTCTTTTCATAGTGTTCATGGTTTGCGTTCTGGTAAGAATTCACATTCGTTGAAAACATTTTCTTTACATTAAGAAATTATCTCTAAAAAGGAAACTTGTTTAAAAAAAAAAAAAAAAAAAACTCCAATTATTTTTTTTATCTACTTACGAAATTGATTATTTTTTAAATTATACATTGGGGCAATGTATAATAAAAAAAAATCAATTTCGTAAGTAGATAAAATTTTTTCATTATGGAAGTCAATGTTTACACAATAAAGTTGGTAAGATTATATTTGGTAAAATATTCGGGATATGCTTATATCTAGATGAGCAATACATCTTGTGAGTTTCAGCTAATAATATCCATTGTTTCAAAAATATATCGATAACTTGTAGGTGTGTCATGAAAAAAAAATGCTACATATCTTGTTTTTTTTTTTTTTTTTGTTTTTTTATTTAGAAACAAATCTAAAAGTTATAGGTGACCTGCCCATTAATATGGGCACGTTGACATCCTATTACCTTCATCAGTATTTCTATCATTGATTTTGTTAACTTTTCTATTTGTTAGACCTACAGTACTTTTCATTGTTTGAATATTGTGTTCCCTTCTCCTATGTCTTAATGATGAAATACAAGATTTCCGTTAGATTCGTGTTTGGAGAGTCTGTAGGCTTTCATTAATTTTCTAGTTAAAAAAACCTTTGACAAGGTGAACATTATTTTTGCAGATTGTGAAGAAGCGTTGTCTTGCCTAAATTGAATTAGACTTGCATTGTCGTACATAAATTTAGCTTAAAGCTTCTTGGTTGTAACCTATACCGTGAACAACTTTTGAATGGACCTATAATTTTATTGCCACCCCCTCAAAACATTGGCCTCCCACTGTTGTCTTCTGATTTATAATGCTTAATTTCCCTGAACGACCAAGCCATATGATCCGTCATAAAAAAATTACTGATTAGCATTCAGTTTTCATGTATTTCTTTGTCCAACGAGTTTTTCTTTCTTCCTTTTGAAAGTGTCAGTTCGGTTGTTTTCATGTATTTTATCAATGTTAGTAATATTCTGAATCTTTGTCTCTTTGTTTAAACTTACAACTCCAGGTTCTTTAACCATTTTCTTGTTTGCCAATCCATTTTTCTTGATTTCTACTCTCTTATTTATTTACTTTTTTTCTTACAAATCTTTTTCTAACAAATTTTTACCTTTTTATCTTGCTAATGATTTCAAGTTCTTTTTTGATTACTCTCTGATCAACTACTTAACAATTGGCAATGTCGCCATCATTCAGTAACTTCACAATATCTTGTTTCTTCTTTGAGTTTCTCATTTCACGACCCATACAATCTGTGTATATCTGAAATCTAAAAAAAAAACAAAAAAAAACTTAACATCTATGTGGCCACCATAATGCATAATAAAATCTTACATAAGTTGTAAATATTTCTAAAAAAAGACATCTGAAATACACAGGAAATATTTATCATAAATATATCTTGAAAATCTTACCAACATCTGTTGAATGGTAAAATTAGCAGTTTCTTTATAAGGAAATATTCAGCATTCATTAACCGAACAGTCAGTGCGCTCTCTCTCTCTCTCTCTCTCTATATATATATATATATATATATATATATATATATATATATAATAATTTTTTTAGCAAAATAGGTTTGTCAAGTCCACGAACTGTTATAGCTCTTTCCATTATTAATAGGGGGCTACATTCCTAACGTTTTAGTTCAAGTAGATTTGGCATGTCAACATGATGACTGTCATTGTTTTCTCATCGAGTTAAATGTGGTGTCTATTTTATTTGTTGTTGAAAATCTTCAAGTGATGTGGATTCTGTTATTTGTTTGCGATTCAGTAGATCCAGTCCAAGAGGTTTAAAGGATTGTCCTCTCTAAAATCTACAAGCTTAAAACCAGTTTTATTATGAAAACATTGACTTGCATGATCTGATGTAGTGTGAAAATCTTGGTTTTTCAAGTAAACATTTTTTGTTTATTGAACATCAAAAATGTAAATGAATTTCAAATAATATGCCTATTTCTTTTATGGAGTCGATTTTGTCTACTAATGTATTTGTGTATGTGTTTAAAATTATATATATTTATGGAGAAACATGTTTAATATTGGGATGGTTGTCTGATGAAATTATGAAATGGACAAAGTCCGACATTTTTATGTTTATACATTCTTTTTATAGATACAAATATACAGTATTAAACAAAATTTACCGGCATGAATGTCCGAGAAATTTTTTCATAGAAAATATTCGTCCTCCGACAGGAATCGAACCTGTATCCTATACAGAACCGTCATATAGCCTGGCGTACCTTAACCGATTGGGCCACAGAGGAGCGTTCGGTTAGCAAGGTCGATTTTACTGACTTTAAACTACAATCTTCCATGATTCTCTCACGTACATTCATATCTACTCATGGCGTATCCAAATGTAAACAAATGACGTCACACATCATGAAATGGACAAAATCCGACAATTAAAATTAAAAATCCGACAGTAAAATCGACCTTGCTAACCGAACGCTCCTCTGTGGCCCAATCGGTTAAAGCACGTCAGGCTATATGACGGTTCTGAATAGGATACAAGTTCGATTCCTGTCGGAGGACGAATATTTTCTATGAAAATTTCTCGGACATTCAGGCCGGTAAATGTTGTTTAATACTGTTTATTATAAATATAGCATTTACTTAAATATTTGTATCTATAAAAAGAATGTATAAACATAAAAATGTCTTTATATATATATATTCCTTTTCTTACGTATAGAAGAGTGCTCTATTTTAACTACATTTAAAAGTTTTTTAATACATATAAAATATTTTTGATTATTTGCCCATTAACTCTATTTCACGCAGCGTAATTTTTTAAAATGGGATGATGATTGTTTCCTTTGGACGCCATTGAGCTCTACAGTTCTTTTTCACATTTTTCAAAAGGAATGCGTCATAGAATTCAAAAACATGAATGGTATTATTTAGGAAATAAAGCAATTATTTCCAAGTGTCGTCACGCTGATGCATTCCTTTTGAAAAACGTGAAAAAGAAATCTAAAGCTAGGGAGCGTCCAAGTGAAATCAACGCCAATTTTGAAAATTGCACTGAGTGAAACACGATTAATAATTAAATCAAAATTATATATAGGGCCGGATTATGAAGTTTTAGGGCTCCTAGGCTAATGACATTATGGGGTCCTTCTCATATGGAGCCACTCTCTAACTCGCCTGCCCCCGTCTTGAATATATTTTACTCATATTTTTATTAGTCAATATTTTAAAAACATTATAACAATAAAACAAAATAAATATGCGTTTGTCTTCTTGATATCATTTTAGTTTATAAAACTATATGTATAAAATTAAAATAATTGCTTTATAAAAAATCTTGAGCGGTCCTTAGCTGCAAGCCTATATGAACCTAAAGAATACTCTGTGTGTGTGCACAGTAACCATAGATGAAGGTACTCAGAAAATGGTCAGTTTATATTTAAATATGGGATCTTTTCTGTTAATTCACTCCAAAATAAAAAGAATTTATATTTACTAAAATTCACACAAATTTCTCCCAGAGTGAGGCCCTTCCATTGCACTCCGGTTGGGTTGACCTTTGCGATCGCCCCAAACGTAATCGACTCGGATACGCTATTTTTAAGTGTGGGTTCAGCATTCGTGCTCACCTTGATGAACAAGCCAAAAAACAGTTTTTTTTTTTTTTTTTTTTTTGTAAAAATTTCTTCTAAGTGTCACAAATATCATCCGCACTTATGAAATAACTTACGAATAACTCCCTGATTTTTCCGAATTTTTCATTCGGAGGGTTGGAGTTATTTATTATTTGGCGGTGAATTAACAGAAAAGATCTTTAAATATATACTGAACGCCTCACCCCACCAAATGGCCCGAAATATAGAAAAAGATGGATAAAAAAAATACTTAACAAAAAACTTTCGTTTTTTCGTTAACCAATCTTGTTATATTTTTATTTGTATTTCCTTCTTAATAATACTTGTAAAATATTAACACATAACCAACTGCTCATCTGCTGTTACATAGATATTTATTAAGCTTAGTTTAGTCTGGCTCAAAGGTTACAAACGGGAAGCATCCAATGAGAATCGAACTCGCTACCTGGTCAAGCGCAATTAGTTTGCTAACCACTAACGAGGAACCCGGATATGTACTAAGCTTAGCTTAGTCCGCTACAAGCCCACAAGTGAAACAGCTAGTGAGGACCGTGCCGAAGGTAGGTTTGAGGCATCACCCATCACTTTGCTTTGCACAGATAAACAAACGCCCAAAAGGTTTCAATTTTTTTTTTCAATTTTGCCTACAATCCACCTCGCACGGTCAGCTGTCACCCTTGCTTCCTTCACTGCAAATGGCTTTCTGCATTCAACTTGCAATAATCACGAAATTTCACAATATTTCGAGAAAGTTCTATCTTCCTTTTTGGAATATTAGTTTAGTTTTCTCTCTTCTGTTGTCTAATTAGGCATTATTTTTTTTTTTTTTTTTTTTTTTCGATTAGCCAACTGGAATTTTGTTTCAATAACATTCTTTTCTTACCATTTTTTGTTGCTTTTTGATTACAGCGTTTTAGCTTCGACCGTTTAAATTAACGGTCAAAAACTAAACCAGCCAGTAATGTAGTCATAAAAAGCAGCAAGAAAATGAAAAAAAAAATTAGTCAAAATTAATAATGTTAAAAAAATATATATATATTTAACCTCGGATACTGAAAACAGAACTGCAGCTATGAGGTATTAATGAGTAAATAGACAATATAGTGTAGAAAAAATATGAAGTGCCAGGATCGCTATAGATAAGAACCGTTCCTAAATATGAGGTTTCCGTAGCTGAACTGGTTAAGGCGACGTACATTTAAGATATGGGGATACTAGTTTTAATTTCATTAGAAGCCAAACGATATTTTAAAGTTTCGAGAATAAAACTGCCTAGAACGTGATAAAAGAAAACGAATAACAAAAATGTGATTATTTTCTCTACCGTTGAATACATCATGTATACCAGAACGATTCTAGGATTATTATAATGACCTAATATATCGTAGGGGAAAAAGGTTAAATGTTGATAAGGTCCCCGGGGCGTTCCTGAGGCCCTCAACTCGTTCCCGCCCAATATACTTGCACGCCTCGTCAGGTTATTCGGGAGTAGTTAGAGCTGACCGAATATTATAACTTAAGACCTTTATTTTCTTTTTTTTAAGATAGCTTCTCTGTCTGTTCGCCGCTAACCTTTATCCTACACCTCCAAATAGCTTAGACTAAAAAAATATTACGTTGGTCAGCAACTGAAGCCTCCTCCTCCTTACCTTGTTACAGTGGTCAAGGCGTCACATTAGACAGAAGTTCCGTATCCCCGAAGACCCAGAGGACGTGGGATACCGCCGCAACTGGCTGTCTGTTCCGCCTTACACATCATCGGATTGCATGTATGCTTATGAAAATAAGGGTGTTGTACCCGACTGCAGAGATGACATCTCTAAGGATCCAAAACTCTCCGAGAAAAGCATTCATCCTGAGCCTCCTCACAGTGACTATTGCAGTTCAAATGGTATGGATATGCACTCGCTTGATGGTAGCACGTTACCAGCCAATGAGAAGCCGGTAAGAAGTGTTATCTCCCTTTATTAATTTTTATTTTTATTTTTTTAAATTAAGTCTTGAAATTTTCTATTTCGTCGTTTGTTATCTAAATTGTTTGAATGGGAATGCTGTTTTGTTTCGTTTCAATTATTATAAAGTTTGTGATGCACGTACATTTTTTTTTTTTTTTTTTTTTTAATATATACTTTGCATTTTGTACGGTGTATATTGTACGCCATTTTAGTTTATTAGATCCAAAACAGACCTGGAATTTTTTTTAGGACAACCTATTCGATTAGACACTATTTACCAGTTATTTAAAAAATGTTGAATAGATCTTTTTTAAAACATGCAATTACTTCGAGGGTAAAATGTGGCATCTTGGGGCTTTTCTGCAATTAATGTTTTCGTCTGTGGGACGATTTGTCCTAAATTAAGGAAGTATTTAGAAGAACAGTCTCTGAAAAGCAAAGCATTGCAACATTCACGAAATGCACGAATTTCTTTGCGATTAAAATGCTTTTTTTTTTTTTCCAAATTTGTAAATTCAAAGTATGCACAATAAAAACCTTTCACATTGGCACACTGCAAGAAACCAGTCACTATATCTTTTAAAGTTATATTTATACTAACCATGCGTCTGTGTTTAAGAACTATGTCCCATTGATATAATCGGTCAATATCCGGGATTGGTTTTTGGAAAGGTGCATGTGTCAATCATTTAGGGGAGTTGAATTATGAAAACGCTTTATTATATAAAAATAAATTTAGAATAAAAAATGAAAATATCATTTGAAAATGAAATCTAAAAAAAATTATTTGAGGGTTGGACATTATAATAATCATAGTTATATTTTTTAAAAAATTAGTTAGACCAGTGGTTCTCAACTGGGGGACCTAAGGGTCAACGTAACATTACTGCGGTTCCACACAAAAAAAGTAGCAAATTGGGAGTCCACTGTTCTATATTTCGGAATGGTTATTACAACTGAGAATTGGAATTTCTACAGTAATCTACACCATATTAAAATACTAAAAATAGAATAGATTATATTTTATTATATAAATTTCTTAATAAACTCAACACCGTGAAAAAGGGTAATCATCGAATTGACATCGATGAGTTGGATACAAAAAACGTTTTATTATGAATTATTTTACTAGTGTACATAAATGTTCCATAGGATTTAGTTAAATACAAGTTTATTTTCATTAGTTTTATTTCAAATAAAGCAGATACATTTACTGTCTTTAATACCATTCCTAAACTTTTAGTAAAATATTAGTAAAAAATATACTCTCGTCATCGAATGGTTATGAGGGTCTACCAAAAACAATTGAAAAAAAAAAAAGCGGAGGGCTTGAGAACCACTGATGTAGACGCTTACTTTTTTCATTAAAATGTTTTGGCTTCAAATAACCCACAAAAAGTTGATAATCTGTATAAAAAAAAAAAATCAATCAATCAGCCAAGTTTCTATTAGAAACAATCCTACAAAGACAGTCTACATTCGCGATTATATATATATATATATATATATATATATATATTAACCAAGTTGCAGGAAGGAAGAAAATAATGTTGCCTCCCGCCAATCTTCCGGTAGGGAGAAGCTGGCTTGCTTGCCTTGAATATCGACATTCGAAATCCTAGTTTTTGGCTTGGGTTCTAACACAAAGCACAATTGCTGGTGAGGAGTATTTCATCCACTAATCAGGCTCTGTCTAATTTATTGATTGACATTTATTAACCTTAGGCACAAACAAAAATCGACATAGGAAGATTGTGCTGCGCTTATCTTCAAAATGGGGAGTGCGTGTCTGCTAAGGAATTCTGAATTTAAAAAAAAAAAAATCCTGACTTTTAACAGGGCTCAAAGACCGACCTTTAGCGCTGGGTAGAATGTAGTTACCTACTAATCTTAGGTTTGTTTGGAGAGGATACTTTTATTTCACTAAATAATAAATAAATAAATAAAAAATAAATAAATAAATAAAATAAAATCATAAGTCACGGGTGGCGCCCCTCTGGCAAGGTCTACTACCCGGAAGTCATCTCTGCTAGGGTTATGAAGCCATGTGATTGCAGTGTAATTTTTACATTTCCCAATTCCAGTTTTCCGTATTCAATCCTAGCATAAATTGTTCAAATATATTTTTCAATTAAATCTTTATTATAGAGAACCTCTTTTAAATTCTGAAACAAAAACGTATATTATCGAATAATAGCTGGAAGGTTCTTTTTTTTTTATTCTAGTCTAAGGTACACCAAGGACATTTGAGCTTGGGTCAATCGAAATATCTTTTCTAGTTCATTTCTGGCGTTGCTGATTTGGATGACTGATACGTACTCGCTACATTTACATTTGCTTTTCATTTTCTTCGATCACAATAAGAAATATCTAGATTTATTGATTCTTTAAGTAAAAAAAAATCACCCGAAAGAAATCAGATAGTGCTCGGAAACCATGGTTACAGTAAAGCCATGTTGGTTGCAGCGTCGTGTACGGGGAATATGGCGGATGAATCTCTCAAAATTAACGACTTATTCCATACTGTTGTTGAGCGGATGATTGTCTTCAGATCAACAGTTAGGATAACTTAATTCAATTAGGGAATTACTGAAATGCATCAATAGTAGTGGATGTCACAGTTGAGTTAACGAAAGACGATCATGACTTAATGTAGGACGTCCTTTTAAAATGGACATGAAGCAATTATGTGAAGGTACAGGATTCAAACCAGAAGACCTGCCAGGTACAAATGAATGTCTGTAAAGACTAGAGAGATTGTTAGTCAAAAGAATCTTTGCAATCATCACGACATGGAAAAAGACTTCTTTGTGCAATATTCTTTTAGTATGGCTCTCCACAACTCTTCCTTTTCTTTTTCTACGATACTTGATCTGGCAGCTATTTACACAAATTTCTTAAGCAAGTTACACGTTGTTTCCCACTGTTCTTCTCGTCTTCAATATATCCTGTGAGTGTTACATTCTCCAGGTACTCCTTTTTTGTTTTGTATCCAAGAAAGTACTAGTGTTTCTTTCTGCTTGTACAGTTTCTTTCTAGTATATCTAAAGACTATCCATTAATGACCAGAGGTGGCGCCTCTGACAAGGTTTACGGGCAGATCACGTTGAAACACCGTTTCCCGTACGATCACCGAAGTTAAGCAATGCCAAGGCTGGTCAATACCTAGATGGGTGACTGATCGGGAATACCAGGTGCCGTAAGCTTGGATGGTATAATGTATAATGGTTCGGAATTGTTATATCGTCGGTTAACAATACCGATACAATGTTAATCCAATTCCAGTTGGGTTAGTTAGATTCAGTTACGCGTAAATACCCTTGAGAAAGGCATGAATCCACGTCTTCTCCTTGCAGCTATGGGTTAATTAATAAGACTTATATCACTAAGCTATTATCTCCAAAATAAGTCTTACAATTTAAAAAACATATTTTCCGGCTTTAAATAACCTGCAAAAGGGTTGATTGGCCGTAGAAAACGAATCAATCAATCTGGCAAAGCTTAGTACCCAGAAGACGTTCTTACCAAGTCATGTTGGCTTCAGCGGAGTGGATACGGAATGTGAGCGATAAGGCTCTCAAAATGAACGAATTATTTCATACTGTCGTTTAGCAGATTAACTTTTTCAGATCTACAGTGAGATCACTTAATTCATTTAGAGAATTAATGCAATTCATTTATAAGGTTAGTTTACCATAAACGAGTATAGGTTAAAATAAAAAAAAAAGTAGTATGCGCGCGTCACGCCAATTTTCCACGTGGAAAAAAAACGAATTTTGAAAATTGATATTTTAAATTTCAGGTTCCTCGCTTTTTGATTTGCTTGTTAATGACAATGCGAACAGATGTTGTTGTGATATAAAAAAACAAAAACAAAAAAAAAGTTCTCGTTTCAAATTTTATTCTGCGCATGCGTTGTTTTGAATGCTCGTAAGGCATCATGTCTTTGATTTTTCGATCGGCGCGCAACATTTTCATTCCAGATAAATTATCGCTAATCACTGTTTCATATAACTCAAACGGAGGATTCCTGACTTATATAAACTCTTCCTCATATCCGTCACACAGCGAACTGATCTGAAACATGTTTGAACAGAATTTTATATACACCGAATAAACACAGATTTCTACCGACACTATTAGCGATGACACGTGGTAGGAAAGCTTAATAATCAACACTTGTGAATGCTTTAACACTTGAAAATTGCATTACAGTGGCAAGCAGAAGAAATTAACCACCTAGATTTTGAAAAAAAAAAACTCAATTTGGTTAGTTTTCATTAAGAAACTTTAAGTATTCGATAACATAACTTCAGGGGTATTATGTGGTCATTCAGGACTGTAATGCAAGTTGTATTTACGTGAGCGCATTGTGATACTGCAAATAAGGTTTGAAAAAGTTGAGCCACTTGGTACCCTTTGAGATTAACATCATCTCGGATACGCATGGAAATTTCTCCTTTTAAATGATCCAATACAGATTACATTGGATTGTCTGAAGTTTTCAACCTGTCTTTTTTAGTGAAGTTGATTTTAAGTTTCAAAATGGGAAGAGTGAGTTAGAAAAGAGGGAATATTATCGAAATGTGGCAAAGAATGTGTCAACGTGAAATATGACAGGAGTTAGTTTTTTTTTTTTTTTTTTTTTTTTTTTTAAGCGTTTCACCCTAAGCAAGGCGGGAACCCACTATGACGCAAGGGGTTACAGAAAATTTGAAGCAAGATCAGATAGGAGTGATAGAAGAAAGGATGAGGAGAAGGGTAGTGGATAGATCAAGGCAACTGGAGATGTCGATTGACATTACATTTGAATAGCTGGAGATTATAGCTCTCAGGGAAATTAGAATAGGGAAGGGAGTTCCACAGGCGAGAGGTGCGAGACATGAAGCTATTGGAGTAGAAGAGACGGTTACATTTAGGAGATTCGACAGTGAAGGGGTGAGAGCGGGATGCCAGACTCGTAGGGCGCCTGAACTCATGAAGTCTGGGAACCAGCGAATGCAGCTCCTTGGAGCAATTGCCATGAAAGTATTTGTAAAACAGAGAGGCGACGGCGCGTCTGTGAGAAAGTGTCTGTAGACGAGATGCCAGATCAGGGCCAATGACATTGCATATCTGCCTCTGTTTGGAATATCATTGCATCCTGTCCAAGTCGCCCAAAAGAAGCATGTTGGTGTTGGATATAAAATAGATTGGTAGACCTTCGAAATTAGACAAGAGATCAAACAAAGCGAATGAAGTGACCAACATCCAAAGTAAAGAGATGAAAGACGTATTACTATTGAAGTTTTAGTTCATACAAGAATACTCTATAAAAGTCATCTAAATGGATGCATTGCAAAAAAAAAAAAAAAAACATTGATCAAAAGACATCGAATAAGTGGATAACACTTTATAAAAGAACCTCTGCTTAGGGTAACGAAAAATTGACAAAAATGATCTGTAATGACGAAATCAAAATAGAACTGAATTCTAATTTAAGAGTATGTCCAAAGACCAACAGGTGCAAGAAACAATCCAAAATGTACGGCAAAAATAGTAAAATTCCGTGGTAGGGTCTAATGATTTGGGACTATAACAAAAGCAATGTTAAAAGAACGTTGATAAAAATCGACTGAACATTGCGCAACAAAAAATATTATTTTCCTAAAGCCCTACTAATTAACAGATATAGCAGGTGAAATATGGATCACTTTGCAATATATCGCATATGATAAAATGTTTCTCGTTGACGAAGATCTTGGAGTTATAAGTTTGGCTTGTCAAAATCCGTGATCGTCAAATATTCGAACTTATGTGAAATGAATTGAAAACTCTGGTTTATAAGAGAAAATCGAAGAACTTGAAAGAAGTTTAGGTTTACTGTCAAGAAAAAAAGGAGAACATTTATGATGTAAACATTTACAAATTGTTTTTTTTTTTTCTTCTAATTTTCCAGTCAGCTCTATAAATGCAATCTCAATTATTCTCTTTCGTCTTCGTAATTCCTTTTCTTTGTTCTCTTGCCTTAAATAATTTTTTTTCTCATAATCTCTCACATTCAGTAACCCCCTTACGTTTTAGTAGCTTTATTGATTTACTTGGGGTGAAATGAAAAAAAAAAAAAAAAGCTGTTCAATCATTCGCCGAGATGAGGCTGTAGTTCGTAACAATAGGAGTCGTACTAAATATTGATCACGAATTGTAATATCCTTAAATATATAAATACACGTTTGTAGAATTTTGCTTCAATAAAAGCAATTAAGTCTGTTTCCTCACGTGGCTCAGAAATTTTTCATGTCTTATTTTTTATTTACATTGTTCGGATTGTTGTCCTCATCTTTATTGTCATATTCACGACGTTTTGGCCGTTGTACGCCCCGGCCTTCTTCAGGTGATTGGAATTTCGGACTGAACCTTTTATTTCTTCCACCGGGGTAGATTTTTCTAGTTCCACGTTCCACGCCTCTTCCGGATGTCTCAACTCTTTAACTCAACTTTCCAAGGTTTTGCTCTCCACTGCAGTAGCCAGGTATTGAACTCACAACTCTTTAAGTCGAGTCACTGGATCCAACCAACACTTTTATCCACTGGGCCATTTTTTTTGCATTGCAATTCGTTCACGTCTGTAGATTTCCTTTTACTGATTCCATGTGGATGTGATAACTTGCGTTACAGTCCTGAATATTATATAGGGATGACAAGACATTCTGACCATCCTGTTGACTTTTGTGGGTAGTGGTGTGGGGTGGTATTTTATTTCTTCTCGTCACAGTAATTGCACAATAATAAATAACGCATGACGTAGCAACTTCGCTTTTACACCATGTTGCTGTAGCCATTTTTCTTAATTTTATTTCGTGGAACATAAAGACACTCTGACACAGCTTTAATTTAGTGATATCATCTTTTTAGTATGCACTAAAAATTTATTTTCTTTATTTTGAAGTAAACAGATTAAACCTAGGCCAACAACTTCGGTCCTTGACAGTAAGCTGAGCTCTCATAAGATGTCTGGGAAAAGATCCAGACATTTAATGTTGACGAAAAAGTAGCTTATAATGACGCCTTAGTTCCTTTAAATTAACCAATTAGAAATGGTTCCCACTTATTTTAGAATCCAAAACAGTCCTCTTTAGAGATTGCCATCAGCTTCACATCGTTCTCCTTAATCTCGCACAATTCTTCCATTGTCACTTCTTCTAGGGATCGCCAATGCTGCTATGTCTCGCTCTCCTTCAGTATGTAACCACTTGCTTTTTTTAGCAGTGATTTTAGTCTTGGTAAAGAACTGAAGTCAAAAGGAACAAAGTCTAGATTGTATGGGGATAGGTGACAGCCCAGTCGTGACATGATATTCTGAAAAGAAACTTCATAAATCAAAACAAAACATAGGCAATCAAAATATTTAACATAGCTTGATACTTTCCGGACAAACCTCGTATCTATATCAGAATTTTACAGATGAATTAAATATCACCCAAATTTTATGATATAAAACACATTGTGACATTATACATTTATTGGTTGCGTATAATTATCTTAGTCGAGATGAGATATCCTGTTCTTATAGTAACAGCGGGTATTACTCGATGCCAATAAACGAACATAACTCATATTAACAATATAACAGCAGAATTTTGTAAATAGGGGATGTTCTTTTCCTTTTTTTATTTCTGTTTCTTTTTTCCTTTTTCATGTTTCTTTTTATTTCTGTTTCTTTTTCTGCTGTTTTTTTCCTGTTTTTTCTTTTTTCCTGTTTCTTTTTTTTCTTTCTTTTTTTTTTTTCTTGTTTCCTGTTTTTTTTTTTTTCCTGTTTCTTTCTTTACTCCAGGGGTCGGCAACCTTTTGCTATGTGCCGTCTTAAAATCAGTGTGCCAACAGCATACGTACTTTTATACAAGTCAAGGTCAATATACCTGTTCTACAATATATTTTATATAGTAATATATAGTATATATACTTTAGTATATGTTAAAATTGAAACAGCTAAATATCTTTGAGTTGTAGTAGTTATTGGTTCGAACTTCGTGATGTCATTTGCGGCTGCGTGCCATTGGAAATTGCTTGGCGTGGCACGCGTGCCGTTGGTTGCCGACCCCTGCTTTACTCGATTGTTGACCACTAATCATTTTTTTTTTTCATTATTTACTCTAATACTTTACCTTATCCTTTCTTCGGCCTTCCATAGGCTATACAATCCGCATGAAAAGAGGAGATTCCCTTTACTTTTTCTCCAGATAGTGTCCATATGGATAGTACACTTGGATGAAAGCTGAAGTAAGACTCGGCCAGAATGTTGTCAAAACTCTTCATATGACGGCCAACGTACTCGTATTAAATAATCCCTGAAAATACATTTGTTCTGCTCAGTTAACCATTTAAAAATCCATCTGTAAAATTTGAGACGTTAAATGAAATTCTAGTCTCAAATAATAAGCACAAGTAGAGCATAACTCGAGATACAAAAACAGTAGGTGTTATGGCGACAGGGTGTCAACAAAACCATAACTCGTAATTAGAAATAATAAAAAAATATTAATCATTGGAACTTATTCGTACATATCAGGATCGCTGAACAAAGTTAATACCAATTCTTAGACGCCCAGCCCAATAAAGAAAATTTTACTTATCTCGTACGATCTTTACAAAAGAAAACCATCTGAATAAATAATGACGCGAACCACAGAATATTTGGGTCAAAATAGAGATAACTGTCTATATTTCGGTGATGAGGTCTCATGTACCCTATTTACATTATTCGAACTATTGTCCTCATCTTTGTCGTCATATTTATTACAACGTTTCGGCCATTCAGTATCTGACTATATTTCTGAGATGAGGTCTTATTTACCCTATTTACATTATTCGGACGATTGTCCTCTTTGTTGCCATATTTATTACAACGTTTCGGCTGTTGTACGCTCCGGCCTTCTTCAGGTGGTTGGAATGTCGAACTGAACCCTTTATTTTGCTCGCTGGGGTAGACTGTTCTAGTTCCACGTGTCATGTCTAATGGATGTCAGTTATCGCCTGTTAATTCCCTTCTCCAAGTTCTCCAGGTATTGAAGTGACACTCTTTGGGTCCTGTCACTGGATCTAACTAACGCCTTTATCCACTGTACCATGTGTCCTTGAGATAAATATGGCAACAAAGATGAGGACAATAGACCGAATAATGTAAATAGATAAGTCTTGACTGTTTGTTTTTTTTTTGTCAAGATATTTGTTTTCCACTACGATATTAAAAATCTAAATGCAACGTCAATCGTCATCATCTGTCCCTTTTGAATAATGTTCTTGTTATTGTCCTTTCTCATCAGTAATTTCTCTTCACTCTCAGTACTTCTCTGCGTCATAGTGGCATAATTGCCTTGCTTGGAGTAAAATGATTTAAAAAAAAAGGTTTTAGTAGTTTATACCTGTAGTTTTATTATTAAATTATCAATAGTTACAATTAAAAACATACGTATATATATATATATATATATATATATATATATATATATATATATATAACTTTAATCTATGTAAATAAAGGCGAATGTCATTGTCACACTTTTTCAACTATAATCCTCGAGGCCGTAGCCCAATATACCATTTTGGAATCTGTCCTACTCCGTGAACAATTTAATAATCTTCTCTGCCAGATCCAGACCCGCAATCCTGAAATTTTGGATTGCCAAGTTTTTATTCCTGCGATTGTTTTCGGCGATTTTTTTTTTTTTTTTTTTTTTATAACTTGGAAATAAATTTAGGAATAATTGAAATTAATTTCAACATCTAACAAAAATCACCCATGAAATAAAAATTGTTTGTAAGCAAAGTAAGGACCTACGTACACCAAACTGTCTTTAAATTAAATGGCGACAGAAGAATTATCGTTGAGCTTTAAAAAGATAAGCTTAAATATTAATTTAATATTTAAATGCAGCTATCAATTTTGAGGACATAGACATGGAATTCATTTCAACAATTTTTGTCGATTTCAAATCTTTCATTTGTGCCTCCTTAGTTTAAAATAACGACAAGCATTATTATTGCAATATTTTGTTAAAATTGTTAAACTCAAATAATTAACGATGCGCTAGGGAAATTTCTATGGATATCTTATTGTCATAGACATCGACATGAGCTTATTTAATCATTAACTAAAAAATTAATCCTTTGAGCCCTGACACCCGCTTTACTGGTGGTAGAGAAATATGACTTAATGCTCAGCCACTGGTTGAACGGTGGGTAAACACTTGCGTCGTGTTTTGCTATTGTATTGTTCCATCAACTTTTCCCCAGCAAACCAAGTCCCTCAGCTTCAGAATGTTCCTAATTCAATACTGTGTGGATCTGGTAGGTTCATTCTGGTTAGCTGCAGTGCGTAAGCAGTCAATCAATTCTAATGCTTTTGAACACCTGCAAAATGTCGGCCTCCACCTCCCAGAGATACCAGAATGTCTCCACTAACAACCTCTTTGCTGTGTACTCTTATAAATACAATAAATTCATACACAAAATCCCAACTTTTGCCTACAAAGACTATCCTCTCAAGGTTGTAAAGTCTTAAGTCCGCTGCAAAATATGCCAGCGCCTCTTGTGCATCAAGAGAGGCAGCACCTGCTGGGTAGACTGGCACACAAAGAAAGAATTCTGGCGATAAAGTGAAGGCATGTAATCATACTCTCTCCCTGCTAAGTATAATGCTTAGATTTTTGTAATTATTTTATATCTACCGTGAAACATTAGATACCAATTATTTGTGAATTTTAACTCGGGAGCTCAGGCAGAAGGGTTCAAATTGTTCAGGAACGCACGACTGAAAGGGTTAAGATTAACCAGAAACTTAAAATAGGAAAAATGACATTTTCATGGGTTAAAAATTCTACTTCATCAACACCAGCACAACGGGATACTTACTCGAGTCCTAGGGTAAGACCAGACAGTAAATACATGCAATCCTGTTTGCACAAATTGTGATGTTAAGTAATACTTAATATGTACAGTGTTTGTTTTCTTTATATTAGTCAGAGTAGATGAGCATTTCCATATAGTACAATATTTTGAATCCGTCTAATAAGGGTATATAAGGTACACGCATCACAGCCAAATGTGCCCAATATTTTGAAAGATTTTGATCAAAACGGCGCATCCCCTTTTAGATGGAGCCCAGTTAGGTCAGGTAACCCAATCTGCTCAAACGATTGAATGTGTTCCCAAATATCAAGATGTGTCTCCCAAGTCGCTTTAGCTGACTAAGCCTTCAAACTTAAAAGAAAATAACCCACTCTGCACCCAACCATGTTATTCCTCCACTACTCCCGCTTATGAACAGAGATTTCCGAGTGCAACTATGTCAGCTCACAGGAAAATATGTGGTACTGAAGGGTATATTTACTGTCAACCATTTTAAATGAAAAGAGAAAGCTTTTATTATTATTACATTCACCACTTGTAGTTAGATTTCGAGCAGTAATTTTTTTTACAATGATGTTAACCCTGTACAAGGCCCAAGAGCTACTCGAGGTAGAGGGTTACAGATTAAGAGGCAGATATTATGGTGGATATGTGGGGAAGATAATGGTTAGTCATAGACTTGAATAAAATTTGATACTCATAGGTCACACTGAAGGCGAGAGAGATGAAATCAGTGAGTTTGTGTAAATGGATAGCAGAACAAAAACTAGGATATTAAGGTGACAAATATTACTTCGTGAAAGAAAAAAGATAGGAAGTTGTGGAGAGCCATGATTGATTTTTGGTCTGAAGAACTGAATCCCCATCAGATTCAATACAAGATTGCAAAAAGTTGTACAGAAAGCAATTTTCTCAATAGCTATCATGTCAACTGTTTCTCGCTGGTTAATATTGCTGTAAAAGCAGAAACCTATTTTTAACAGCACCCCTCCGCTGCTGTGGACATATATGCATTTTGAAGACACAGCGAAATGTTGGTTCCAAGCAATTGGGCTAGAAACTAATTAACTTTTAGTGCCATTTCTAAACCAACATTGACATATAATGGTATACAATACAATGTTTGTAATAAACTTTTATTATATTGCTTACGACCATATCACCTTGAAACATTGGTTCCCGTACGAGCACTGAAGTTAAGCAATGCCAATAACTAGATGGGCAATCACTTGGGAATACCAGGTGTTGTAAGCTTGGGTGTGTGGGTGGTGTAATAGATAATGGCTCGGAATTGTTAATTTGAGAGCTGAGTTCCAATTCCAGTTGGATTCGTTATATCCACTTATGCGCAAATACACTTGGGGAGGTATGAATCCACCTTATTCCCCAGGTATGGGTTAATTATTAAGACGTGTAGCTCTGAATCATCATCTTACAATCTAAAATTATTTTCTGGCTTTATGTAACCTGCAAAATTTTGGTAAGCTGTAGAAAACTAATCAATCAATCCATCAATATATTGCTTATTGGGTGGGGGTGTCATTTAGCTTCGTCTGGACTGCAGAGTATCCGATCAAAACCAAAATGTTAGCACCCATAAGCCACCGTCAGTGCCTTTTTATAGTCATTTATTGCCAGTAAATGTACTTTCCAAAACGGGGCCAGTACAGCCAGGCAAAAATGCTATAAATACAGCAGCGAAAGTGTTAAATAGTATCAGAAACCATTTACAATAAAAAAAATAAAATAAAATCACTAAACATGAAGCTATAAAAAAGAATTTGTAGATATTTAGAGCTTCTAAATTTTGTTTATACAGTGCACTTTATGTGGGAGGGAGAGTTAAAGATATGACAGAAGTAGGTTATACTTTGATGTGCACTGTTGTGGGTCTCTGTATTCGAGAACTAAAGTAATATTTATATTGTTTAAAGAGATTTAAATTAAATGGTATCTGAAAATTTGCAGCAGACAGGAATGAGTTTTTTTAATTCATCGTTGAACTTGCAGTTCGTAAATGGTTTTCGTCTCACGTCGTCGCAAAAAAGGAATCTCATGATTCCTGAGAATTACACTCTTAAATTTCTTTGTTTTGTTATGAGATGACCCCTCTCCACACACTACTGAAGATTAAGCAAAAGAAAACAAATCAAACTTCATTTTCTTTCTCAGCCGCAGAAAACAACCACGTTATGACGATCTTCTCGCGTTACGTGGGACCAATGACGTAAGTACGAGATCTTAACTATCACAAGAGTTATTTTTTTTATAGTCTGCTTAGCACTCACTTGATTCCACTAAACACAAAATTGCATTAAAATTTAATTCTCACAACATATTTTTAATATTTGTTCACTTAGATTTATAAGAATTTAGTTACTAATTTTTTTTAACTTTTTATCATTTCTCATATAAATTTATTTATTCATTGCACTAATTTATTACTTTTACTCTCTATTCTTGTTTCATCTTTTCCAAAAATGTATACACACTTTGCTTCGACCAGTTAGCTTTATTTATAGCTTTTTCTTTGTGCCGTGTCCCTTCAGGACGTAGACGATCATGGCTCTCCTCAATTTCCTGTCGTTCGTAGCTCTGAATAAATTTCGTCTTTTTGTTACTTATAAACATTGTTACGCCTTCCATTTACTGAAGTATTTACTAAATAAGTTGTTTTCCTTTGTCTTGTGAGTATCGGATTTTCCAAGCTCTCTTTCCTCATATGTCCCGGAAACTTCAACTGTCTCTTCCTGATGCTAAGTATTAGTTTCCATTTTGTTTCCATTTCTCGTCGTTACTCACATGTTTGGTCCACGGTATCCTCAGTATCCTTCTGTAGAATCACATTTCTATTGCTTCAAGTCTCCTCTTAATCTTTGAGGATATCGTCCAGCACTCGCTGCCATCCCAGAGGAAAACTATCATATGGCAGTTTAGTACTCTTTTTTAGTTTCTAGCGAAATTTTCCTATTTCTTAGTACTGTAGTGATCTCGCCCCATATCAAACGTCGGTGTTTGCCATTTGTAGTTGTACGTTTGTAGGGATGGATGGTTTGTAGATGTCTCTTTACGGGGGCGTGCATAACATGACAACACAATTTATATTTGACGTAAAATACCATAAAACATGAAATACACGAAGGAACAAAAATGCTTTTAAAAACATAACATTTGTATTTATCTTGTGTATATTGATGTACATGCGTAGAAGTTAAAGATCTATGGGTGTTATGTCCATTAGACTGTGAATATTTTTATCTGGACTCAAAAGTTGAATTACAAAGCTGAGAAATGATGAATAAACTGTAGCGTTAGAAGAATGTTTCAAAGATAAAAGTTCTTGTTGCTTTTTTGGAAATGTTCTGTATGTTTGTAATGTAGTTTGGAAAAGTTCGTATGTACGTGCATGCGTGAATATGCTTTTAACGTCTGACCGCCCATGGTCGAGACGAAAATCCTTTTGCAACTACATCTTGTAGAAAGAGAACGAGGCAAAAAAGTCGCCCAGTATTTATAGTATATATATATATATATATATATATATATATATATATATATATATATATATATATAGAGAGAGAGAGAGACCCCTAGTGAACAATTATGGAATTAAGGACATTACTCTGCTTAGATTTTTCAATGCTTCCTAGCTTATCCCAATACGCTTTCGGATCTCGGTGTCGCTCTTTCCGCACTCTGAAAGAGAATTTCCCAGATATTTAAATTTCCTCACCTATTTGATTTTGGTACCTCAAATTTGGAATTCGCACTTTGGGATCATCCTTTTTATTTATTTATTTATTTATTTTTTTTTTTTTTTTTACAGTTTGTTTAATCCTTGCTTCTCGCTTTCCTTCACACCTTTCTGTGGGAGTTTTTGTAGCTTGCTTTTTGCGTCTGCTATCAACATTGTCTCGCCTACATACCTTATGTTAAGATTGTGGCCGCTAATATGGGTCCTGATAGGACTTGCAGTTCTCTCAGAATCGTCTCGGTTTATAGGTTGAATAAGACGCATCCTTCTCTTACATCCCTTTCTATTTTTTTATATCTCATTTTCTATGCGTGTGCAGGCTGTCTGCATAGGTTCTTGATTATTCTAATATCTTTCTAAAATATATCACCGTCCTGGGTATGACGATAAACTACATCTACGTCCTGGGTGACAGGATAAACTACATCCGACAGCAAAGCCTCTGATCAGGTTTTGAGGAGGGTGGAACCACCTCTTAATTGCTGGTGTTTCCAGGTTCACCCTGACCCGGGGTGGTAGCACCTGTTAGGGTCCCAGCTATGGGCAAATAATTAACCTCAAAACTGGGGTCAAAACGTGTAAAAATAGGTTTTATTACCAGCAATTAATTTTTGAAGAAAAAATTATCAGCAATATATTATTACCAGCAATACTTTCACGTAAAAAAATATTACCAGCAATACATTTTTGAAAAAAATATTACCGGCAATAAAAATCTTTTCGGTATTAAATAACCCATTGGGGTTGATATGCCATAAAACAAACCAAACCAAATATATCAGGGTTGCTGAGCAGTTCCAACAGATCTTTGTGGTGTACTTTATCGAACGCGTTTGCGTAATCTATAAAACACAGGTACACGTCCTTCTGCATTCTTATTGCTCTTTCTGATAACATTCTGAGTATAAATATCGCGTTCCTTAGCTTAGTATGGAAGAATGTCTTTAGTATGGAACACTAATTGAAGACTGAACAACATTTCGTTATAATGTTCAGCAAAACCAACTCGGTAACCACTGACCCACAGTTATGCGTTCGAATAAAAAAAAGTATATAAAACATTTAATAATAAAGAAGTAAATGTCATTCTCTTCGATTGGAACATGTTTGTGTAAAAAAAATCGATACATTTTAATAATAGCATTATACAATGCAGTAATTCGATCTCTAATTATGAATTTTAAGCGAATGCCATGGCCTGTATTATTAGAATTCTTTTCGGCAGTCGGGTAAAGGCCTGCACACAAGAAAGGTGTCGACACAGTCGCTGTCACTGTTCCATGGACGTGGGGGCGCTGTACTGACGCAATTTCTGGCGGTCTTGCGATAGGGAGTGAATTTTGTTGTCTACTTCGTCTCCTTTTCCTCTGCACTGTTTCTTAAAGGATTGTCTTGGAGAGCCTGCCAGATTTTGTCACCTCGATGTACTGTCTCTTATTAATGCACCATTTTTTCACACTGAGATTGAAAAAAAAGTCTGCATAAAAAAGATGTTTGCCCAAAACATTTTAATAATAAACTATTGTACACTCAATCTCTTCAACTGAAAAAAGTGTCTGCACAAAAATTAAATAAATAAATAAAAATGCTGACTGTCAATTTAAGTAACTTTGGTTACTTTTTGGATCAGGGTAACTAAATTTTGATTTGCTGTGATTTCTCAATGGTAAAACACACTTAACTTTAAAGTGATTTCCCAGATCTAAAAGGGGACACAACTCTTGCCTGGAATCGCATTTTCTTTAATAAGACTTAATGACTAAGCTGGTAGATATTAACTTCATAGTCTGACTTTCTGGGATGGGGAGTTATAATTATTTATATTACTTACACGAGAAATATCGTCTCCATCTTTGTTATCAACATTCAGATTACTCAGACTCCAAATCCTGCATTCTGAATTGTCCCACGGGACAATAGCTAGATAAAATAATAGGGCTTAGTTTGAAATTCCCTTAGGGTTATTCAGATCGACAATCACCTGATAATGGCTGGGGGGCAACAGACTGGACGTTGTGATAACGACAATGATGGGCACAATAGCCAGTGTGTAAATAATGTAAATAAACACGCAAATAGGGCACATAGTATGGATCGAACTCACTACTCAGTAACAATGATCAACCAGATAAGCCCGTTAACCATTATCCCATACTCTACTTCTACTCTACATTCTACCTGTGCTTCTTACACTATACCTTCCGCCTGTACTGCTCCTTCTACTCGTTCATTTTTTTTTTATAGAGTTGACCCAAGCAAGGTAGCAAAGCCCCTAAGACACAAAGGATTACTGGGTGTGGAAGAATTAGTAACAGAAATATTATTAAAGAGCCGCAACAAAAGAAGAGTAATCAGGACAGAGCAGCGATTGACATTGCATTTAAATTTTTGAAGATTAAAGCTGGCTGGAAAACATGGAACCGGATGAGTCGCACAAGGGAGAAGTGCGAGAAAAGAAACTGTTAGCATAGAACTTACGGTTACATCTAGCCAACTCAACTTTCAATTGATAAGATCTCTACGCCAGTCTAGTACTGTGCTTATATTAAAAAAACGTCTAGGTGCTATAACGAAGAGCTCATCCGAACAATTTATAGAAAAGACACAGGGGAGGCAACCTTACGGTGATGAGAAAGTGACTGAAGCTGAGATGCCAGATCAAGATCAATAATATTGCTGATTCTTATTTGGATTTTATCAAAGAGCTCTAGATAAATAGCACGAGCACCAAAACACATATGGCAGCAATACACTAAGCAATGACGAATGATGGGCTTATAGATATGCAAGATAGATTCCGAAGAGAGAAATTGTCTAATACATCACAGTGAACCAACTTTCTTAGCAGCTCACCTAGCAATGGATTCAATGTAGTTTTTTTTCCACTTCATGTCAGCTGAGAACGTTCGCTAGAGAAAGTGCAACGAGTCACTCTTCTGGGGGTCAGCATCAGCCATGCTGATGAAAGACAGAGGTCTCTTAGATGATTAAATGAGAGCAGTTTAGTTTTGGAGGCGTTAAAATTAACAAGCCATACTTTGCCCCAGTTAACAGGCTGAATGTCGTTTTGGCTATCGGCTGCTATTTTTGTCATATCGAACTGATCAGACTTGCTATTGAGAGAGGAGTAAATAGTTTACATCAGCGTAGATACTAGATTGAGAGTTAATGCCATCATTAAGGTCATTAATGAAGATTAAAAACCAAAAAATCCAAAGTAAGACCAAGGATGGAGCCCTGGGGTCACCTGCTTTAATAGTAAAGGAACTAGATGAGTGGCCGTTCAAAATAACTTTCATTTCACGATTTCATAGGAAACACTGGGTCAGTTCAAAAAATTGTTCGGAGACACCGTAACTTCTCAGTTTGTGAAGAAGACCTGTATGCCAAACCCTGTCGAAAGTATGGAACCGGAAGAGTTCTTGTACTCTACCTTCTGATTCTACATTTACTACTACATCCTCTGCTATTTC